ATCTTCGTAAGTAACACAGGACAAAAGTGATTCCTGTTTAAAGAAATGCATGTCAACATTTTCCAAAATAGGCCAGTGCTGTTTCACAAAGGAATTAAAAAAAAAAAAATAAGCCCTTTATTATAAACCTCTGTTGGTACCAGCAGCCAGGAAATCAAGAGATGAATTGCATTGGCAAAGTTGGCGGTCAGGAACCTCTCCAGAGTACTGAAGAGCAACAACGTCAGTCTAGAGTCTAAGGTGCACCTTATCCAGGCTATAGTCTTTGCAATTGCTAGCTATGGGTCAGAGAGCTGAACAATGACTAGGGATGATAGAAAGAGACTTGAGGCCTTTGGGCTTTGATGCTAGAGAAGAGTACTGAAGATACCACGGACTAGGAGAACAAATAGGTTCAGCCTAGAGAGGGTGAAGCCAGGCTACTCCTTGGAAGCAAGGATTCTAAAGTTTTGTCTGACAAACTTTGAACCTGCTGCACGGAGGGACTGGTCCTTGGAGAAGAATGTCATTCTTGGAAGGGTGGAGGGACAAAGAAAGAGGAAAACCATCGATGAGATGAACTGATACAGTGAATGGAGTAATGTGCATAGGTGTGTCAGAGACAGTAAAGTTAGTGTAGGACAGAGCAGGTTTCTGGGCTGTTGTACACAGAGTCGCTACGAGTCATAAGCAACTTAAAAGCATATAACATCATAAACCTCTGTTGCTTAACCACATCCTAAAACATTCCATTCCAACTGACAGAGTCAGTGATGATGGAAAGATGATCTCCCCAATTCGGAATACTTTGACCATGGAAAAATGAGTACATTTCTTTATAGATTCTCCTCCCTACAAAGAGATTACATGAACCAGAAATCCATTTTTGAACTTCTGTCTTCTGGATCAATGCTAACAAATCTGATACATCTGAAAATCATTCAAGTATTATTACAACCACCATTTTCAAGATACCTTTATATAATTAGATGGCACTTTAATTTTACAAAGTTATTTTCACATACATTCTCTGATGCTTTTTACTATTATCATTTCTTAAACTAGAGAAGTAGTGGAAAGAAACAGAGCAAATCCTTCTCAGAAGGCCCCTCGCTATTCTTCAGACGACTTTCTGCCTTACGTGCTCTTCTTTTAGCTGTGCACCTTGGGCCTTGTCACAGAGATTACATATTAAGCACTGTCCTAATTCTCCTTATAGATTTGCTTATTCACAAGTACTACTTATCCTATTTAATAAAGAAAGGGAATCAACTTTTCCATGGCCACCAGCTAATAAACGGCATTATCAGGATTCAAACCCAGAATTTTAGTTCTCTGTTAAGGTTTCTCTTCCCAGAATCCTGCTTCCTCAAACACCAGGGTTATCCTAAGACTCTTCATCTGCCCCTATATCCTTCAGTAAAACAAGGATAGTATCAAGCACTACTATTTCTACAGCAATACTGCTTCTTACATAAGCCCTTTCAGAAAGTGTCACATTTTATCATGACTACAACTCACACTGGCCAGTCCAGGGAGCCTTCACAGATTTAGTGCACCCCAACCTGCTGGCTTATGTATCCTATCCTTGAGGCTGATCTCTGCAATCAGATCCCCTGGGCTGGGCTCCTGGCTTTATCCTTTCTCAGCTCCATAATCGTGGATAGGTAACCTGACCATTGCCCATGATTCCTTCTGGAGCATATGGAAACAATGTCTGGCTGGTGAGAGTTAAATGAGAGAATTCATGTATTCAGAACAATTGTTGGGCACTTACAAGTACATCAAATATTTGCTGTAATTTTTTTAAAAATGCTTTTCACTCACTGGAGAGTGAATGTATGATTACAGTTATTCTATGGATTCCTGGACTTTTGTTAAAGACAAAAAAAATAAATAAAATTAACCTACACCAGTAAAAGAGCATCACATCCTATTTCATCTCTGCTAGGGTCTTAACCAGGGAGGTATGGTGGCACTCTTCACAGCAAGCTGGGCAGCTACCTAAAGGCTGCAACTCTGGTGGTTCAAATCAAATCTACCAGCTGCTCTGCTGAAAAAGATGGGACAACCTCCTCTTATGAAATTCACAGTCTCCAACACCCAGTAATAGGTCAGCTATGAAACAGTTCTGATTCAACAGGAATGAGAAAGCACAGAGACACCAAACTGACTTGGGTGAGTGAGGATCTTAATACAGCTACCTGACCAGCTATAAGAGTCAAACTGTGAAGCCGAAAAAGATACAAAAAGTGGAATAGGAAGAAAGAACAGGACTCCCCCAATCTTCAAACCTTAACTGCTTGCAGACATATTATTCAAATTATCTCCTCTATTTGAAACATTTTCACTATTCTAAAAAAGAAATACAAATGCTGCTGTAAAAATGCTGGCACTACAAGTTGAGCTCCCTTCTTCAAATAGTCCAGGCTCAATCGTCTACAGCTCAGCAGTACAGTAGTGGCAGTGGAAACAGAAACACGGCATTTGTGAGCAAAAGCAGGAATGACTTTCCAAGCCTGCTCAGTCTATAGCAATGAGCAGAGCCCATTTTCCAGCACACCTGACCTGAGCTCAACAGTGGCACCGAGGTCACATCAGGACTCTATGGTCCCACCAGTCACTGGTGGAGCGGAGCCTGTGGTGTAAAGGGGCCATGTGTGGTGTATGCCAAGGGTTTACTGTTCAAAAAGGCTTTCCTAGTCAATGACTTTGGACAGGAAGAATCAGACAAATAGTTTGTATTAAGTTAGTCTATCCACAAAATGACTAGCCTATCTTGCCATTCCAATAGGCTTCTATCAACTGGCTTCAGTGGTAGAAATTGGCAATCTCAACACCAACAAGAGGAAGCAGCGCCCATCTTTCAGGGCCAGAGATTCCTGCACAAGAGCAACAGCAGCCTCAGCTGATAACCAGAGACAAACATGAGACAGAGTTGACTGGGCACTGCTGCTCCAACGAGCCAGACAGAGCCAGAGGCCTTCACCAAGCTCGCCTGAGGACAGAGGAAAGGCATCATGAGGTTGAAGGTCAAAGGGCCTACAACCACATTTGAGAAGCTATCTGGATTTAGGGGTTTTATCCGCTGCTGGCCTGAATTATACCCTGTGAACTTCCCTAATAAACCCCGTAACTTTGAGTATGAAGGTTCTATGAAGTATACGAAGTCACTGCAATGGATTTCAGACTGAGTAAAGCAAGGAGATTAAATGTGGAATTATATGTAGATGGAAGAGCATGGGAGACCATGTCTGACTTTATAGGAATAGTTCTTTAAGACAGATATTGTTGATGGGAACAGTTCCCGTTGGAGGAGCTGGCGGAAACCAGCTTCAGTCATCTGCATGCTCCCCACACCCTGCGGAGGGTCAGCTAGAGAGAGAAAATCAACTAGATGGAGTGGCACAGTGATTTTAACAGGCTCACGTACATTAGATAAGAAGAATGGCACAGGGTAAGAGAGGGTGCAGATAGACAGGCTCTCTATGAGTGGCCGTCTAGCAGCACCTAACACCATCAGCCGAAGGCTAGTTAGTATCTTGTTAGAAGAATGTCTAATATCACTGCAATTAAGACACTCACCGCTTAACCACACCAGAAGGCTGCTGGTTTCAATTTACCAGCTTTTCCGAAGATAAACAACTATTTCTATAGAGTGTATCAGCCAAAGACTGACAGCAAAGAACAGCAGTTCTATGCTGCCCTACACAGTCGCTAGGAGTAGGAAATCAAGCAACAGCATCAACTCATCAGAGTTTGAGATTGTTGTGTACCATCAAGTCATGACTCACAACTAACCCTCAAATAGGTTCAGAGAGACAGTAAATCACATCCTTTCCCCTGGGAACAGCTGGTGGATTCAAGCTGTGTGCCTTCAAGACTGTAGCGAGCTTCTTACCAGAAGACCACCAGAGTTAACATGAAATCAATATAAACTAATTATATAGTTATAGCACCGAGCCAACAAATCCAGAAACCACTATGATCCTAGGACCCGGGCATGTTCTTCCCAAGAAAAGTTCTAGACTTAATCAAACTATAAATATGAAATCAGAATCTTCTATGAGGACTTAGAAAGAGAAAAGATAACCAAAATATTAACCGCTACAAAAATACAGTGTTTTTAAAAAGCTGTTGGTCAGTGTTGCATTTTCCTGCTCCACTTTGGATGAAAGGAAGGTCGGGAGGAAAGAGAAATGCTTTCACATTAAGTCATCAGTCCTAATGAGATGGACAACTGGCTTTCTGAAGAAGACTTTCATAAAACAAGAGGAGACAAGTGCTTCAGCATCAAGATGCTCCTCATTGGGGAGTTCACGTACTATTCCTATTATCCCATCAAGGTTTTCTTCATTAATTGTTCATAACATTCATTCATTCTTTCTGCTTCCCTGTTAAGCCTCCACAGACCAACGTTCCACACAGAGTACAAAACGTAAGCATTACACTGACTGTTACACCAGGAAACAGCTTTTCTAGTTGCATCACCCAGTGCTCACATACTAAGTTGTGCTGCTTTAGTGTACCTCCCAAATACTGTACTGTAGGTTCATTTCTTTTTTTACAAATTGAAAGTCTGTGGCAACCAGACATCAGGCCAAGGCTATCAGTGTCACACTGGTAATTTCTACAGTATTTCAAACTTCTTTATTCTGCTAGTGGACACTCAAAGGCTATAGTACAGTGTAAAACTTAACATTCCTATGTACTAGGGAACCTAAAAATTCATATGGCTCACATATGAAGATATTCACTTTATTTCAGTGTTTAAACCACAGACATTCCCTCTTGAGATGTGTTTGTATTAGCAAATAATATAAAGAACAGTTGCTACATGGTAAAATAGACATACTCAAATAAAAGAGCAATGATAACAGACAGCATTCCTTATATGTTACCTTAAAGCTAAAGATGATTTCTTTTAAGACATATGCTTACGTACAAAAACAGGCAATAAATTTAAAATCACTTTAGATTGGAGATTACAAATCAAGCAAGATATCTGTCCCTGAACTTACTTGCTAATTTGGCCTGTAATCCAGAAGGTCCAGGTTTTGATGTCTCTGATTTAGAAGACCCTGGAAGAGACAGTTTTGTTTTAGGAAGGCTAACTTTAGGGCTGAAACGAGCAGCCCAATCAAATTTTGAAGAGCCACCAGTTTTACTCTGTTCCTTTTCCCTGCTACTTCTTCTGGGGCTGGGGCTGGATGCTGAACGGGAACGCCTGGCTTTGTTCTGGTCTTTTCCTTGTTTCACCCTGGCACCTGGTGGTCCAGTTGAAGAGGCCGAGGCTACAGCAGAAGACGAGGAGGAAGTAGAGGCAGCAGAAGAAGAATCAGTGATGGTGCTACACCCAGCTTTGGCTGAGGCGGCTGATTTTGAAGCCAGCTTGGTAGGTTTTGCAGATCTCTCTTCGGCACCCGTTGACTCAGATACAGAACCACTTCTTATACAAGAATTCTCTGTCCTCTTTCTTTTCTGACTCCGTGAACTAGCAGTGGCCCCACTCTTTCGGGTGTGAGCCTTGCTTGTTGATGATGACTGTGCAGATTTCGGTTGTTGCTCTTGGTCTAAATGTCTCTTCTTGGCCTTACTATGTGGTTTATTTGTTTCAGAGGGAGAGTCAGTATGCTGAAGTGCTTTGGGTTTTTTGGCAGAGCTAGGAGAACTGGTCCTGCTGGAGTCCGGACTAGCACTGCGTTTCACTCCTCGAGAATTGTCCTTCTTAGGCACGTGCCCCGTTTTTTGCCTTTCTGAAGTATTGGCTCTGTCTGGGTCCTCAGGCTGTGGAACTAGCACAGCAGATGATGAACTGCAGCTTCTACAAGGTGAGATAAAAAAATTTAAAAAAAAAAGAGTTAATATCAGCCTAATCATCCTTCAATTCATCATATCATAGTATTTACTAACTTTCTAAGTTCTTGGAAATAGTGTTTTTCTTAGATAAAAGAGTACAAGAACTTTACTGAAAATTCCAACACACACACACAAGCACAGGTCATCAAATGGCTTAAAATGGCAGGAAAAGATAAGGAGGTGTGACTTCAGGTAGTAAAATACTTTGAGAAGGTGAAGAGTATTCTTAAGCCAAAATATAGCTAAAACAAATAATCACAGAGCAAGGAAAAGATTGCTTCATGGCTTGGAATCTGCTGAAGTAGAGTACTGATACTCTTAAGACTTATGTGCTTTCCAAAGGGATGGTTAGAAAGGTCCATGTAAACACCAGTTATTTCCTTCCCAAAGGCTCTGACCCAATACATCTTAAGAAATCACTAACCTAAACTGTGGTTCTGCGAAGTAAGTTAGGGAAAATGGAAAACTAGTATTTTAAAACCTTTTAAGAGTTTGCTAAGCAAAATGAGAACCTCACAACTCTCTTAAGAAACACTGTCACATAACATGGTTCTAAAAATTATCTCTAAAATGTTTTCTTAGTGATTTTTCCAATATGAACATTAAAAATTCAAGTTTACAATGGAAGGTGTACCGTGTCACCATCACTGCAATGGTGGCAAATTATTAGTCTTAAAAATTAATTCTCAGAGAATAATAATAATAATACCAATGTCATATGGTAACCTGGTCAGTTTAAATATTATGCAATGGTTCAACCGTAAATAACACTGCCTTGAAAATGTATAAGCAATGTGAAGATTTACCTTTTAGAAAGGTGTCCCCTTGACAGTTCAGAAGTAGTATTAGACTGCACTTTGGGTGCCTTAGAATTAGATTTTCTACTCTCAGGAGGGCTATATCCCTTATGTTTTGCCTGCCCTAAATGTGACCTGTCAGCAAAAAAATCAAAACAGAAATCTATCAGGCAAATGAGATGTAAATACAATACTGAATGTGAAATAATCTTACATTAAAAAGTCTTTGAGTTTATCATCATTACCCTCTCATCTTCCCCTCCCCAACCCTATATAAAATAATCGGGGGTGACAGGAGGTAGGGGCAGGGGACACGTGGCAATGCCTATCTTATAATCTCCCTCAACCCCAAAAGTTAGGATTATTGCTACTGGTTGCCACATTGCATAGAAAGCTAACTACCATAGTTCTACAAACTACTTCTAAAATGTTTCCTCATAGTGATCTGATTTTCCAACATGAACATTAAAATGCAGGTTTGCAAAGTAGAGGCAGATAAATTAATTATCAAAGTAAGTTTTCACAGACATAAATATATTGACAAGTGTTAAGAACTGAAAATACTAATCAATAGCAAAGCAAACCAAAACCCGAGTCCTAGAGAAATACTTTAAAAGAATTCACCACACAGTTTCTCACACACATCCAAGAGTCAATCATGGGTATGATAAGCATTTATAATAAATCAAATCCTTACGTCAGCATTGTTCTAATAGCAAGCTTGAGGAACACAAAGAAGCTGTGGATTCAGTTGATGGCCTTTTTTGGGAAACTTTGGCAATGGTTACATGAGATTCACATATGCAATTAAAAAGGAAAGGATGCATCAATATATATGCAGAAAAACTTGTAACAGAGGTGAGATATTAATTAATAAAAGCGATTTTTCTAATTACAGCCACCATATTTCTTAATAATATGAAAAAAGGTATTGTAATGAGAACTCAGAAAAATAATAAACCAAGTTTTATTAATATCAAAACTGTGATACTTTAAAAAGTACTTACTTGTAAGGTTCTAATTGCAAACATCATCATAAAGGAACTAGAAAGAACTGAAAATGTCACCAAAGTAATTTTAACTGAAACCCTACGGATATGATAAGCTCTTAAAATAGGACATGTCTATGAACTCAAAAATCAACTTTTTTTTTTTAAAAAAAAGGGTGTAAAATAAGCTTCTCAATAAAAAACTATTTTCCTGGGTTCCTAATATCCTTCTTGTTTTTAAGAATCTAGTTTCTGACAATGTTATTTTATTTCATATTCGTAAGGTGTTCAATCTGTCAGAAATAACAATATTCTACAAGACTGGATCAACTACTGAAAAATTCTATGTAACTTTTAAAGTATCTTTCTTTAGTAATGAAAAATTTTAAGGATCAAGACTCTTCACTGAGTGTAACCAAGCTGAACTTTTATACTCTGTCATTTTGTTTTTCCCTTACTATTATTCGTCCATTGCACAGTGAAATTTTGCTTTAACCCACAATTCTTTTGTTTCTGTGGATTTCTAGGAATAGATAACAGAACACCACACTGTCTCCAGAAATGAGAAAATATTTTTCATGTAATTCCTTTTTTAAAAAAACAGGATGGAAGGAATTGTACAACAGTATTAACTATACATAACTGTATAAATATACACTATTTTCAAAATATGAAACTTAATACTCCTTAATCAATATTCAGGCTCTCTATGGTCTAGTAACATTTGCTACACTTTTTCAATCAAATCACATTTTTATATTTCATTTAATTATAAAATAAACTTATTCATTTTTGTCATCCTTGCTTCTAATCTTTTTAAAATGTCACATAGAAGAAACTACAGCCATTGATAGCTGAGCTTAATGAAAATTAAGTGTTCAAAATACTTTACTAATCTAGTATCAATCATAAAACCAGCAAGTTCTACTATGTCCCTAATGTGAAGGTCAACAACAACAACAAAATCAGAAATTAACCGGATAATGAATCCACTACAGAGCTAGAAGTGTTCCTCTTCTTCAATACATATAAAATTGACTGCTCTTAAAATATATCAAACTTTATCTGAATCAATTTTTAGGTCTCTTATTTTCTTATCAATATACTCAATGAATTTAACAGACAAGTACTGAAAAGTATTAAGACCAATGTCAACAGTACTGAATCTTGGAAAATGAAGGGTCACAAAACTGGCTGAAACCCAAGAATGATCAGATTTCTTCCATTCTAAATTGCAAGTGTGATATTCTCACTGAGACCAAGAACGAATGCTTGAAAACACTGAAAAATACTGATCACGATGATCCATGTGCCTATTGTATCCTAGAGCAAAAGGCCAAAGGGCTGTTTTCTGTTTTATAGTAATGCGGCGTTGCAACTAACCCACTTCACTGCAGTGTAAAACCACTGACGGCCACTGTGAAGGTACAAGAGCATGAGTGAGTTCCAATCAAGCCACACCAAGAATGTCAGTGAGAGTTAGATCCGGACCACCAATTCCTAGGTTCGCACAAGAGAACAGGCTATCGGAACATGACACCAATAAGAAGAGACTCGTAGTTGTAGTTTATTATGTCCATTTAGAAATGGCTAATGCTCAGAATATTTCAAAGCAAATCACCCTAAAATATAATGTCCAATCTAGAATAGTTAAAAAAGAACATCTCAGTATTCAGAGCACACCCCCCGATCAGTTCATATTAAGAAGCCCTTATGTAATAGATTTTATTAAAAAGCATATTAAAAACCTTGGTAAAATTTTATGAAAGGAGGTTTCAAAACACAAAGTAAACCTCATGATAAACTCTTCGGAGCAGTACCAGAGCATAAACTTTTCTTTGGATCAGCACCAGATCATAAGCTCATTTGTACATGACAGCTCAGGGTGCCGTGTGTGTGTGTGTGTGTGTGTGTGTGTGTGTGTGTGTACACAACATCAGAGAAAGTGTGTAGGAGCTTATTCATCACAACAGTTATTCAGGCAAATCACCATTCTCCAATCATCCACTGAAACAGGGCTAAGGGTAAAGTCAGATACAGAATATTCAACAATGTTCCTTCGTAATGATCTAACAAAAAACCCCATCAATGAAAAAAAAAAAACCACCCCAAAAGATTATGCTGACATTTGCACTAGTAACAGTCTACCCTTTGAGGTTTGGGTTGTTTTTTTGTTACTTCTTAGCTGGACTAGCGGTAAACCCATAGGTATGTGGTCTGAATCCACCAGCTGTTCCACAAGACAAAGGGCAAATTTCCTGCCTCTGCAAACCTGTTAGAGGGTCAACTAAGCATTGGCTCTGCCGGAAGGTGGTTGAATGGTTGATTACAACACTGTAACACTGTACAAAAGGAAGCTCTGGCCGTCTATCTGTAGGGAGTTGTGCTTACTCCTTTCAGGTGGTCATTACTCCTCTCATGCAATTTCAGATGGAGGATCAGCTATGAGTTGGTTCCCGAACAGCAATGAGTGAAAAGCTTTAAATGTACATTATAAAAGACCTTTTTACTGGGCCCACCTTCAACAGACTAAAACTATTCCAAAATAGCTTTTTTAAAGTGATTATAATCTTCTCTTTATATACAAATAAATACATACTTTTTGCAGCTTCTTGAATGCATTTAGCCAAGTGCAAAGAGCAGAGATCTAGAAGCCATTAAATAGCTCTTTCTTACACTCAAAGAATTCTGACCTTCAGCTTTTCCTAAGATGCTAGCAAATCTTCCTTTCACAGAATTATTTGCCTTCACATCATTTCTTTACATTCATCATCTCATGTGCCTTCATATTATCTTTTAACATTCTGGAGAAAGCTGTCTTATTAATAAACACACTTAAAAAGAAACCAAAACCCACTTCTACCCTAAGTGTTATTTCCATTTTAACAAATACTACTTCGATCATTACAATGACATCAATTCCTGATTTATCAAATGCATGTGAAGCTCCGTCTGACATGCTCTGGACATGTTGCAAGGCAGGATCAGTCCTTGGGGAGGGACATCATGCTTGGGAGGGTGGAGGGACAGCACAGGAGAGGAAAACCTTCTGAGATGGATTGATTGAGTTACTGGGGTATTGAGGACAGTCATGTTGGAGACAATAAAATAGAGCAGGGTTTAGGGCTGTTGTACATAGGGTCGCTATGAGTCACAGGTGACTCGTAGGCACATAACAGCAGCAGCATGGGTGAATTCCCATTAAAAACATTCACACTGCAGAATAGGTTAAAATCAACTCTGGGTTGTGTTAAGACTGTTAAACTTGAAAGGCAAGACTTAAAAGTCACTGCTCTTTGTTGATTTTTAGTTATTAAGTAAAATCCATGGACAGTCCAAAGGAATAAAAAAGGGCTCCAGGAGTTGATAGCATACCAACTGATTTATTTCAACAAACAGACTCTGCCCTGGATGTGCTAAGTTGTGCCAGGAAATCTGGAGGACAGCAGCTGGCTAACTGACTGGAAGAGATCGATATCTGTTCCCATTCCAAAGAAAGGTGACCCAACAGAGTGTGGAAATTATCGAACAATATCACTGATATCACATGTAAGCAAGATTCTGAAAATTATCCAAAGATGTTTGGAACAATACGTCAACAGAGAATTGCCAGATGTGCAGGCTGGATGTAGAAGAGGTCGTGGTACTAGGGATATTTATAGCTAATGCTAGACGGATCTTGGCAGAAAGCAAAGAATACCAGAAGAATGTCTATCTGTGCTTCATTGACTATGCAAAGGCTTTTGACTGTGAGGATCACAACAAGTTATGGCTGACTGAGAAGAATGGGAATCCCAAAACATCTGATCGTGCTAATGAGAAACCTATATATGGACCAAGAGGCAGTCGTCAGAACAGAGCAGGAAGACACTGGATGGTTCAAAATCAAGAAGAGGGTCCGTCAGGGATGTATTCTGTCTCCATATCTTTTCAATCTGTATGCAGAACAGATCATCCGAGACGCTGGGCTGTACGAGGAGGAATGTGGCATCAGGATTGGTCCAAGAATCATCAACAATCTGCGTTATGTGGATGACACAACCCTGCTTGCTCAGACTGAGGAGGACCTGAAGCACTTGCTGCAGAAGGTCAAGGACTACAGCCTTTAATACGGATTGAAGCTCAACATCAAGAAAACAAAGATTC